GGTCGGGGCGCCGGATTCTGTCCCGGTTGCCCCTCTTCCAGGCCAGCTCTCTGCTGTGGCCCGGGAGTGCAGTGGAGGATGGCCCAAGTGCTTGGGCCCTGCACCCCATGGGAGACCAGGAAAAGCACCTGGCTCCTGCCATCAGATCAGCACAGAGCGCCGGCCACAGCGCGCCGGCCGCGGCGGCCATTGGAGGGTGAACCAACGGCAAAAGGAAGACATTTCTCTCTGTCTCTCTCTCTCACTGTCCACTCTTCCTGTCAAAAAAATAAATTAAAAAAAATATGAGTTTAATTAAGAGAATATAGCTTGATTCTTCCTTATCTCACACTAACTTTTCCTTTTCTAAATTTTCGTAACATTTTTGCTATATCACGTGTTTGGTTTTAAGTGACTTTTATTCTTAATGATCATTTCATGTAAATATATCTTTTTTAAATACTTGTTTATTTGAAATGTTGAGTGATGGGTGAAGGGAAGTAGGGGAGAGAGAGAGATCTTATATCTTCTGGTTCACTTGCTAAATGGATGCAAAGGCTGGAGCTAGTAAAGTCTGAAGCCAGGAGCCTGGAACTCCATCTGAGTTTCCTGGGTGGATGGTAGCGGCCCAAATACTTAAGCTATCTTCTGTTGCTTTATAAGCCACATTAGCAGTAAGCTGAATTGGAAATGGAACAGCCAGCACTCAAACCAGTGCTCCTACATGTGATGCCAACATTGCAGTTGGCAGCTTAGCTTACTGTGCCACAATGCAGGTGCCTACATGTGAATATATCTTATTTCCCAAAAAGAATATGTACTATAAAAGAGAATGTTTTACATGCACATCTCTCATATTCGACTTTCTACCACCATCAGTAACTATATGCTAAATCAATATACTTTTCTGGAGCATACACAGGACTTCAAAAAGTTCATGTAACAACAGAGTTTAAAAATATGTTTGTTTTGGTGCAAAACATTTCTGTAAGGATATTTTATTTTTTTAATTCTTATTAAATGTTTTGTATTTTTTTTAGATTTATTTATTTATTTGAAAGTCAGAGTTACAGAGAAGGAGAGGCAGAGAGAGAGAAAGGTCTTCTATCTGCTGTTTCACTCCCCAAATGGTCACAATGGCCAGGGCTTGACCAGGCCAAAGCCAGGAGCCAGGAGCTTCTTCTGGGTCTCCCACATGGGTACAGGGTCTCAAATACTTGGCCCATCTTCTGCTGCTTTCCCAGGCACATTAGCAGGGAGCTGGACCACAAGTGCTACAGCCGGGACTTGAACTGGCACTCATAAGGGATGCCAGAATTACAGGTGGCGGCTGAACACATTGCTGCACAATGCCATCCCCCAAACTGTGTGTGTGTGTTTAAATATTTATTGATTAATTTAAGAGGCAGGGTTACACAGAGAGAGAAGGAGTTGCAGAGAGAGAAAGAGGTCTTTCCTCCATTGGTTCATTCCTTAATCGGCTGCAACAGCCAGACCTGCGACGATCTGAAGCCAGAAGCCAGGAGCTTCTTCTGGGTTTCCCACACAGGTGCAGGGGCCCAAAGATGGGCCATCTTCCACTGCTTTCCCAGGCCATAAGAGAGAGCTGGATCAGAAGTGGAGCAGCTGGGATTTGAACCGGTGCCCATATGGGATGCTGATACTGCAGGCAGCTGCTTTACCCGCTACGCCACAGCACCAGCTCCCAAACTGTGTTTTAAACACTATGCAGCATCCCTTATGAGTGGTGAAGTCCTAGCTGCTCTGCTTCTGATCAGCTCCCTGCTAATGTGCCTGGGAAAGCAGCAGAAGATGGCTCAAGAGCTTGAGCTCCTGCCACACTCTGAGAGACCTGAATGGAGTTCAAAGATCCTGGCTGTGACCTGGCCAGCTGGGGCGAATGAGGCCATTTGGGGAGTGATCCAGCAGAGAGTGGAGCTCTTTGTCTCTCCCTCTCTAACTCTGCCTTTCAAATAAATAAATAAATAATTAATTAAAAATGAGAGAAGGGAGGGAGGGAAGGAGGTAGGGGCGGGAGGGAGGATGGAAGGAAGGAAGAAAACACAGCTTGGGTTGCTTACACCCCTATTGAGTTCTCACCCAGCTCCCCTCCATTCCAGTTTCCTGCTAATGCACACTCTGGGAGGCTGCAGTGGTGGCTCAAGTATTTAGGTCCCTCCCACCATATGGGAAAGCCAGATCTCTCTTTCAAATAAAATGAAAATAAATAGAGGCCAACATTGTGGTATGAGTTAAGCCATGGCTTGTGACGCTGGCATCCCATATTGGAGAGCTAGTTCCAGTCCCAGCTGCTCTGCTTCCTGCTAATGTACCTGGGAAAGCAGCAAATGATGGTCCAAATACTTGCTTGTTGTCCTGGTTGCTCTACTTCTGATCCAGCTCCCTGCTAATAGCCTGGGAAAGCAATGGAAGATGGCCCAGGTGTTTGGGTCCCTGCTACCCATGTGGGAGACCTGGAAGAAGCTCCTGGCTCTTGGCTTCTGCCCATTGTGGCCACTTAGGAAGTGAACCAGAAAGTGGCATATCTCTCTCTCTATGTATGTCTCTCCCTCTGTATAACTCTTTCAAATAAAACTTTTTTAAAAAAGGAAAATAAATAAAATATGAGGATAAATAGCAAAAGGACAGTTATGAGTTGAAAGGGAGAGCTACAGAACAGGAATCAGCTTTGTTTTTCTGTTAACTATTTAACTTTTAAGACTATTACATATGTAACTTAGAAAACTAAATTTTAAATTTTCATTAATAATTTTTTAAGATTTTTATTTGAAAGTCAGAGTTATACAGAGAGAGGAGAAGCGCAGAGAGAGAGAGAGAGAGAGAAAGAGAGAGGTCTTCCATCCACCAGTTAACTCCTCAGTTGGCTGCAACGGCCGGAGCTGTGCCCATCCGAAGCCAAGAGCCAGGAGCTTCTTCCAGGTCTCCCACGCAAGTACAGGGGTCCAAGAATTTGGGCCATCTTCTGCTTTCCCAGGCCAGAGCAGAGAGCTGGATCGGAAGTGGAGCAGCCGGGACTTGAACCAGCGCCACCTGCTATGCCACAGCACCGGCCCCTTATTAAGAATCTCTTAACTTAAAAAGGATTTACCTTACCTCACAGCTTGGCTAAAAATACATACAAACAACATAAGGATGAGACATTTATTGTTTATTATTTGCTGGTATCATCCGTTGATGATACCCCCTACCTCTCTTATAAAAATAACTACACACATTTCACCAACTTAATTACACATTTTCACTGCTGTGTATCTTATATAATTCTTGACAACATATGAAAAGAAAAATTCATTCTGTTTCTTTCTGTTATAGATTATCAAATTATTCTTGTTAGCATCTAAAACATATGCCAATAAAAACTACCAGAGCAAGTGGAGGTCTATCCAAGTAGGAGTTTTAAAAAACCGGTGAGAAGTCATTATTTGAGAAGCACGTTCCATGACTTTCTCTTCCACTGTGATTCAATATGCATGATTCATTCAGTCATTCAATTTGTTCATGTAACACAACTTCCCAGATCTTTTTACATTTAAGGCATCATACTAACTTCTGAATTTTCTAAAACCTGTAGTATTCTCATTTGTATTTCATTCCCTTAAATACCGTACAGCAGCTCTATCCAGGAGCATATACACTCCCCTGCCTGTGGCATATGTCTAAATCTGTTAATATCTCCAATTATACTTTAGGGAAAGACTCGAGCTTAACAAGATTTATTATCTGTGGATTGACAGACAGAAGAAAGGCACACAAAAATCCTAAATTCAACATTCTGCAGGAGCTTTCCACTATCTCTTCCAATTTTCCTGTTTTCCAACAGTTGGATAAATATCATAATATTATAGCAGTGTTGAAAGGGAGAAGGGGCTCCATCTTATATTCTCAGGAAAACATATTTACCAAGCAACCATTAGAAATATAGCAATAGAAGAAAAAAAAAAAACTACCAGACAGTAAGCCCCATGAAGATGTGAAATTTCTGTAACTCATCTTGGCATCCACAGTGCTACAGTATCTAACAACTTGGTTGACACAGAAATGTATTAAATGAGTGAATGAATTGCTACTTTGTAATTCTGTATAAAGATCAGTCATTAATTTTTGTGTCCCCGGAACATAAAAATGTTCAAACATTTTTTAATAGAAAATATAAGACCCACATCCACTTTATTCCCAATAAAACTTCCAGCCTCTTCTGCCTGTCCTCTTTGAAAACTGCTTGGTTTAAGAGAAGTCAATCTTAATTAGAAAAAGGTCACATTTTCAGGACCAGGCGCTTCCCACTCCATACAAAGTGAAGCCAAGTTAACAAAACCGCAAAGACTTGAAGACTTGGCTAATTCAAACACAGGCTGATTTATTTTATTATTATTGGCCTAAACTACCCAATGTGTTTTTTTGTTTTTTTTTTTTTTTTTTTTTTTTTTGCTGCGCAAGCTAACATCCACAACCGCACTGACGCCTCCTGTAGGGCGAACATCTCACCAGTAGCTGGTGGGGAGCACAGCGCTTCTCAGCCCAAATCGAGGGAGGCTAGAATTTATGCAGTGCAGTAATCCAAACATTTCGAGCAGATCACCGCCTGCCTGTAAGAGCTGCATCCCGTAAGAAGCGACTTCAATTTTCCGTATTACAAGCTGGAGAAACCAGGCTCCTGAGGCTGTCAGGGAAATGCTATCATCACCTCCACCCTCCCATTTCCAAGCTCAAAGCTATTCCGCGGACCGCACGGCCCAAAGCTCAGCGGTCCGCCGCCCGCGGTGCCTGCCTTTAAAGAAGCCGCGCGCGGTCTGGCTGCCCCACAGTTCAACTTCCGGCCACACGGAGAGAGGATGTTTTCCTACTGGAGCCGGGGCCGCGGGGGCGCGCCCCTCTGGCCACGCCCCCGGTCCACGCCCGCCACGCCCGGCCTGCGGGTGCGCGGGAGGGGCGGGGCCGCGTGGGTCGCTGCTTCGTGGTTCGCCTTCGCCCAGCGGAGAGCAGTCACGCGGAGGCACGCCCCGGGCGGGCGCAGGACGCGGCGGCGCGCGCGCGCGCGCGCTCCCTGTGCCCTCCTGGGTGACGTGCCGGGCCGAGGCCGCGCTAGGGCGCTGTAGCTGCCAGTGCCGCTGTCATGGCGTCGGAGGCGCTGGCTGAGGAGAACCGGCCGCGGTCTCTATAGAGCGAGGGGCGGGCGGCCGGGGATGGAGAGCGGCCCCGAGAGCCTGCAGTCGCTAGAACACGGGGTGGCGGCTGGGCCAGCGCCAGGGACGGGTTCTCCGCCGGTGGGACGACAGGAGACCGAGCTCGCCGCTGGGGATGGTCCTGGAGTATGGGCGGCGGAGAGCGGCGGCGGCGGGAATGGGCAGGGGGCGGCGGCCGCCGGGCGGAGCCTCCCGGACCCGGCTCCCTCGGGCTCGCCTCAAGTTCCCGAACCCTGCAGCTCCGTCCCGGGCTTGGACTTGAAGGAGAGCTCTTTGGAGAGCCCTGCTGCCGCGAAGGCGCCTATGGGAGGGCAGCACAAGGTGACCGTCTCCCCGGAGCCCGCGGAGGCCGGAGCGGGCCGTGGGTTGGGTCCGGCCGGAGACACTGGCGCCCGCACGGATCCCGTCGGCACCTGCCAGGCAGAGCTGGCGGCTGCCTGCGCCGAGGAGCCCAGCGGTGCCGGCGGCCTCAGCAGCAGTTGCAGCGACCCGAGCCCTCCTGGGGAATCGCCGAGCCTGGGCTCCCTGGAGTCGTTCTCTAACCTGCACTCTTTCCCCAGTAGCTCCGAGTTCAATAGTGAAGAGGGAGCAGAGAACAGGGTCCCAGAGGAGGAGGAGGGCGCGGCAGTGTTGTCCGGGGCTGCCCCTCTGTGCAGAGAGGAAGAGGAGGAGGAGGAGAACGCTCAGGTGTTGGCGGCTTCCAAGGAGCGCTTTCCGGGACAATCTGTGTATCACATCAAGTGGATCCAGTGGAAGGAAGAGAACACACCCATCATCACGCAGAATGAGAATGGACCCTGCCCATTGCTGGCTATCCTCAATGTTTTGCTTCTGGCTTGGAAGGTACATTCTGCAGCTTTCTACTTCCTATGGCTCGTGGGGAGGGGGATAACGGGAGCTGCGGCAGGTCCGCTGATGGCTTCCTCCTTTTCTTTCTTCAGTCATCCGTCGTCCTCTTTTTAGCTTACCTGAAATTCGTTGCAAGATTCCCTTGCTGAAAGCTAATTCTCATATACCTGCATATGTCAGAATAAATTGCTTCTAACCACATTCAGTTGTGGATGGGATACTGCACTTACCAACAAGTAGGAGTTAGAGCATCCTAAGTTTATTTTATTTTTTATAATTTCATTTCAGAATAGTTTCAAATTTACAAAACAGAAATTTTAGAGTTCTACAAAGGTTTCCCATATATTCCACATCCAGCTTCCCCTGTTATTAACATAGTAGTGTATTTGTCACCATCTATAAGCCACACCCAATTTTCCCTAATTTTAACACAAACTTCCATCTTATCCCTCATAGCCTCTAGTAATCAACATTCTGTGTTCATTTTCAGGTTGGTTTTTTTTTTTCTCCCACACATGAGAGCAAGCATGTGGTATTTGTCTTTCTGTGTCTGACTTAAATGTGATACTTCCTTAGTTCCATCCATTTTGCTGCAAATGACAAGAATTCATTCTTTTTAATGGCTTAATAGTATTCCATTGCACATATATAACGTCTTTTCTTTATCCATTCACCTGATGATGGACATTTTGGTTGATTCCATGTTTTGACTATTGCTGCAATAAACATGGTGGAGCAGGTATCTCTCTGATACTATGATTTCATGTTTTTGGATTCATATACAGTAGTGGGATTGCTGGGCTGTATGACAGGTATATTTGTAGTTTAAGAAATTCCTGTACTGTTTTCTATAATGGCTGTACTAATTTGTGTTCATAATAATTCCCTTCCTCTCATTTTCAGTACTTACTACTTTTTGTCATTTTGATAATTGCCATTCTAACAGGGGTGAGGTGCTTTCTTATTGTTGTTTTGATTGCCTTTTGATAATGACTAGTGATAGTGAGCATTTTTTCATTTATCTGGCCGTTTGTATTTCTTCTTTTGAAAACTATCTGTTCAGGTTCTTTGGACAGTTCTTAACTGGATTGGTTATTTTTTGGTTGTTTCCCGTGTTTTTCCTTCTTACTGACTTTACCACATATGCAAAAGAAGGAAAAATTTCTGAAAATGAACTTCAGATACAACCATCAATCCATGGTGTAATGCAGTAAGTTTTGATGGTGATGTTTAGTCTGTTTTCCAACTATTGCATGCCCTATTAAGGTGTAGATACTTAAGAGAATGGTGATGGAGCAGATGTGGCCCTTTAGACAAATTTTATTTAAAGAAAAGCATTCATCAGGGGGTTAAATACTTTAACTTCTTGTTTTCAAAGCTGATGTTTTTCATTTCATGCCTGATTTTTCTTTGCCTCATTTCTTTGGCTCTACTCATATTGTTTGGTGTTACTTCCAGTAACTATGCATCAGAATGTGTGAAGGGAGCTAATTAAAACTGTTAACAACTAAAATAAGAAAAAATATTATTGAGGGTGAAGGAGCAATAAAGGGAAGGACTCTCAAAAGTAAGCATGTTGAGGACTCAGGGAGTTACCTGTAAATGAAATCTCTCATTTAAGCCTGCAATTTTAGTTGCTAAAAAGGTGCATATCACAGCTCCTGTTTTATTTTCAAATTAATAATTATGTCTATAGATACAATGTTCCCTAGGAAAAAATATCATGCATTATTCTGACCAGTTAAGAAGAAAATCAGGTAAAGGAAATAGTATTTATTACATTCCTTAATTTTCTGTTTACCAGCAAGGGCTGATACAGAAGAAATAAGATTAGAAACCTTTGCACACAAACGTTTTAAGTGAAGACAGTCCCTCTTAAAGAGCGTTCAATCTCTTTGGGGCTCAGTACTGATTTCCTTGAAACTCTTAAAAAACAATAAATACTAGGCTATATGAAAAAATTGGAAATGCATTAGATGCACAAAGCAAAGTGGGAAATTTTCCTTTGGTCTGGCTTGGTTCCAGAAAGCATGGAATCTGTACATCTTGAATCAAACTTTTAAGGAAGAGAATTTAAAATAACAAGGAAGTGGAATTCCTGGGAGACAGAAGTGTGTAAACAAGAAGAATGAAAATAGAATGGACATGTTCTGTGTGTGTTTCTTAGATGTCAGTTTATATTGGAGAATAATAGAAAATAAGATTGAAAAGATGATGAAGAGCCATTTGACAGGGGTCCTTGTTGAGGGAGTTTCACTTGGTCCTATGGGCCAGAGTCCCCAATCTTTTTTGTAGGAAAGAATAACTATTAGTTTCCTTTAGACTTTCCTTTCTTAATTTCCATATTGTACCACAGAAGTTAAGAAAAAAAAAAAGTATGGTGATCTCAAGTATCTGGGGATAGATGAGCTTTGAACTGACTCTTTGGAAGACAAATTCAAGTAAATGATCAGATATCTGGGTTTCCACTAAGTGAGGTACCAGAATGCAAAGATGTGTATGGTAGCTCACTAGTCAGAAGGCAGACATACAATAATTACAGTGTAGTATGAGAAGCTCTAATGTGCTATAGAAGTATGTAGAAAGGTAGTGGGGGGTCAGATGTGTCAAGGGAAGGCTTGGTAGAAGAGATAACTTCCAAGCTGAGTCTGAACACCTTCTGGGCAAAAGGAATAGGCTTTTCAAAGAAGCTGAAGCAGAAAATGGTTTGTTACCTTTGGGACCTCCAACCTTGGTTGAAGTGTAGTGAAGGAGGGGAAGGGCATTGTAAGAGCAGGAAATAAAATTGATAGGTTGAGTCAGATGGGGAATAAGGAGGCTTGCTAATGAATTTGAAGGTTGTTTTGAAAATCTGTTGTTTTCATCTTTTTCCACCTCCAGGCTATTGGTGCATACAAAACTCAGTAGTCATTAATGATTGACAAGGAGGGCTGATAACAGAAGCAAGGTAGAGCAGTATCCTCAAAGTGAGCTAGGGGCTCTAGAGGTCAAACTATCTTCATAATATTAAGATTTTTGTTGTTGTTGCCTTTTTCACACTCATTCTCTCACAAGTGTCAGAGAAGTTCTCTGGGCTGCATGCTGTGTGATGAACATTAATAAAATGTGTGCCTGTGTATTCTTGTGTTATAAAATTTTCTTTAAGTTCCAATACTGTAAAAAAAAACAAAAACAGTAGTTATAACCCACATAGATAAAAGTTCTTTGGGGTCCTCAATACTTTTTAAGACTCTAAAAGAATCAGAAGACAAAAATTTTTAAGAAATTTGAGAGTAGGGGAAAATAGTAAATAGGGTATGAAAGTAGCTTCTGATTTCAGAGGACCAATTACTAAGCTGTTTAGACTTAGCTAATAACAGAACTATTATAAGTTGTTGGATAGGTGAATGACATAATGAAAATGCTCTTTTACTTTGAGACTTGGCTAGAGGTAAGATTGTAGTGAGTAAGAGCAGATGGTTAGCCTAGCAGTTAAAATCCCCACATCCGTGGGTGCTGGTTATGATATAGAGGATGAATAGCTGTTTTCAATGCTGGAATAACATATCAGAGTGCTGGTTTTAGTCTGAGCTGTTCAGCTTCTGATCTGCTGTCTGCTGATGCACCTGGGAAACCAATGGAGAATAGCCCAAATGCTTGGGTCTCTGCCACCCATTTGGGAGACCAGGTTAGGGTTCTTGGCACATGGATTCAGTCTGGTCCAGACCTGGCTGTTGCGGCCATTTGTGGGGTATGCCAATAGATGAATGATCTCTCTCTCCTCTCTCATTCTCCTTCCTGCCCCCCAATACTGCCCTGCCATTCAAGTAAATACATCTTTTAAATAAATAAATAAAATGCCCACATCCCATTATCAGAGTACCTGGGTTCTATACCAAACTCTAACTCCTGACTCCAGCTTCCTTCTAATGCAGACCCTGGGAGGCAGTGGTAATGGCTCAAGTCATTGGGTTCTTGTCATTCCTGTGGGAGACCTGGATTTCTTCCCCAGACTCAGGCATTATGGACATTTGAGACAAGAGAGCTTTGTCTTGCTGTGTCTCTGCCTCTCTAAAAAAGAAAAAGAAAGAAAAGAAAAAAGATTGTGGTGAGTATAACAGGAATAATTGCTGAGGATAGCTCTTTGGGGTAGGGAATTTTTTTTTTTTTTTTTTAAGATTTATTTATTTATTTGAGAGGCAGAGAGAGCGAGCGAGCGAGAGAGGTCTTCCGTCCGCTGGTTCACTCCCCAAATGGCTGCAATGACAGGAGCTGGGTTGATTGAAAGCCAGAAGCCAGGAGCTTCTTCTGGGTCTCCCACCTGGGTGCAGGGGCCCAAGGACTTGGGCCATCCTCTGCTGCTTTCCCAGGCCACAGCAGAGAGCTGGATTGGAAGTGGAGCAGCTGGGACTCAAACCGGCACCCATCTGGGATGCTGGCACTGCAGGCAGCAGCTTTACCTGCTATGCCACAGGGCCAGCCCCAGGGAATTTTTCGTCTTCCCTTCCATGCCTCTCCTCCCTCTCCCTCCTTTTTTCAAAGATTCAATTTAAAAATTTAAAAATTTTCATTTTATTTAAAAGAGAGATGGAGAGGGATTGTGCATCTGCTGGTTCACTCCTCAGGTCTGGGCCAGGCTAGAATTTGGATGTCAATCGCAGGCACTCTGATTTAGTATGTGGCTGCCCAAGTGCTTACTTAACTACCATGACAAATTTCTGATTCTATTTCTCTTTCTTTGATAAGGATAAAGTAGCAATCCCATTATTGAGTTCATCACTAGCTGTGAATAATAAATGGAAATCACATAATTTTTTCAAATCTAGATAATAGAGATTGATGGGGTTTTTCAAGAGTGGGGAAACAGTCAGGGGCCAGCATTGTGGCGTAGTGGGTCAAGCCATCACCTGCACCACCAACGTCCCATATGGGCACCTGTTTATGTCCTGCGTCCCATATGGGCACCTGTTTATGTCCTGGCTCCATTTCCAATCCAGCTCCCTGCTGGGTTACCT